TTCACGGAGACATTTTGTGGACATGTTTTATTAAACACATTAATTTCATTTATAGAGCTTCTATCAACAAATCGATGTGTTTTTTAGATTGGAAGTTATATCTATATATATATCTATCTATCTATCTATCTATCTATCTATATATATATATATATATATATATATATATATATATATATATATATATATATATATATATATATATATATATATATAGTAACAAATTGATTTATTTTTCGAATAAATACAAATTATAGGCACCTGATATTAAGATGAATGTTCATCCTTCCGGAAAGGGGGTTACCATTTTGGTACAGTTCAGTGTACAAGTATCAAACCCAATCCTTGTTTTACTTGTTGAAAGTGCATAGTTCAAATCAGTGTTTTCAAACAAACTTAAGTAGTGTAAAGTAATAATTGATAGTGCACTCAAGTGTTATGGTTTTTACATTTCTTTTTTTTTCTGACTAAAATTAAACTAAACTATGACTTAAATAAGATACGAACCAAACAGGTTTTTTTTGTGTGTCATTTCACCTCTACAATTCAGTAATATGTGGACTGTGCTAAATACGTTTTGAACAACTTCAAGCACTTCTAGTAGCAATAAAAATGCAGTCGAATGGATTATTTGTAATGTAAACATGTTGCAAATGTCTTTGGAGGCATTCATACAATCACTAAAGACCAGGGGCCTCATGTACAAAGACTTGCGTTGAATTAATTCTAAAACATTGCGTACGGACAAAGCTGTAAATGTGCGTATGCAGATGAAAAATGAAAAAATCAGATGTACAAAACACTGCTTATGTTAAATCACACGCATATTCTCTTTGTACATCTGAATTAACGTGAAATTGAGTGCAACATGCACGAGCGCAAAACCCCTCCCTGCCTCCTCCTACGTATAAATATGGAAATGACTTCAGCTCTGGAAAGATATTAGTATTGATGGTAGCGGAAGACGAGAAGACCAAGCCTGGACAGGTTATTCTTGTTTTCGGTTTTAATCGTCTGTGAGGGGCTGTTGCCACCCGTTGACTTTTTTTCATGATTAAAGTGTTTAAAGTGTTTCCCGCCTCCTTCTGCCCTTGAACTGTGAACATCGAACTTTGCTTCAAATATTTTTCTGTCTTACAAAGACAGTAAGAACTCATTAGAACGTACTGTATAGTAGGTTGCATTGGTAGACTATAACTGACCCTTCAGTCTTCATCACATGCAATTGAATTTAATAGAATATAATATCATGGATGTCACTGTGACCGTTAGAAAGGGATAGCATTATCATTGGGGTTTCTTTTTGGCTATGTTTAACAAGAGTTTGAGGACACTCTTGAGACTGTGTGTGTGAAAGAGGGCATGAAAAGCTCTCTCTTTAATTTGTCTACAAAGGCAAACTTTCAAAGTTTTATTTCCCTGTCCGCAGGGCTTCTGGTGACCTGAATTAGCAGAGTAATTACAGATTTGCACAGTAGCGTGTCTGAGAGGGAGGGAGGGAGAAAGAGAAGCTGTCCCTCTCTCTCTCTCTGTGTCATTGCTAAAACACAGCCTTGAGGAATGGGGATTGATGTGCTTAAGATCGCGTGATAGAAGTGGCCGCAGCAGCAAGGTCAAACAAACTCCTTGTAATTCCTCCTGCTCTTGTTTGAACACTGGCTCTCTTCAAACATGAGCTCATCCTCTCTGTGGATATTTCGTATTCATCTCTTTGGGTTAGACGGGGTGGTGAATGACTTCATAATGCATGATGTGTGCGGCTGGCGTCGGCTCAGCTGCAGGCTGAAGATGAAATGTGTGAGAATGACTGAGCAGCTCTGTGATTGCGGCAAATGAACCTTGAGGAGAAGGGCAGCCAATTTGACTCGAACGTTTCAAACTTTCAATTATTCATTAGCGTAAAAAAAAATCACTTTAAATCCACACACATTGGCCACTTTATTAGGCACAGCTTGTTAGTGACTGGTTGGGCCAGTTTTTCCTTTAGAGCTGTTTCGATGACTTGCTGGAAGCACTCCACTGAGATTTTGGTCTCTGATGACATGATGTCTTCATGAAATATGATGACATTACCCAATAATATGATCTTTTCGTAGTACAGCCTACAAATATTTATGAGTTATTAAATGCTCGTGCAATATGGCATGGTGTTTTAGAATTATAAATCTATAAGTTCAAATTAAGATGTACATTAAACCACATTTTCTGTAAAGGAAAGTCTGTTGAAGTTTTTTTTTTACTATATTTGCAGCATCCACAGGCTCTTCATCCAAGACCAAAGTGCTATTTTAATGAACGGGCGAAATCTCAAACTGAATCAAATCTGCTGTGCATTACATGTTTTAAATCAGAAACAAAATCTGACCTTCAAAGTGACATTGCCTATTATTTTCTTGGTGCATTGGCATGACACCAGACTCTTTTGCATGCTGTTTCAGTAGTAACAAGAGGATGCTGTTATAAACTCTAAAATAAAAAAGACCAATATATGGCACAATATTAGTACATAATACATGATGGGATATGACGTAAGGACATTTCTCCTCTCAAAAAGCAATGTAGGCATGCAATAGTCACCAAATAATACTGATTACCAGTACAAACAGCCACATCTGTACAGACCTCTTACCCAAAGAACCATGAGGTTATAAACATTGACGATTGGTTATTTAGGCCAGAAGATGGGACTTCCTTCATTGTAGTGGTCATACTGAGCTTTGAAATATTCTCTGTACATAGTAATGTGTGCAGACTTTAACAGAGTGTAAAACTCTTCAGATCTCTATCAAATCTGTGCTTTAATTGGTATTTTGGCTGGGCCATTCTACAGCTTGAATTTCATTCTCTGAAAGCATTTGAGAGTTTCTTTGGATGCGTTTTGCATCATTGTCTTGCTGTAATGTCCACCCTGGTTTCATCTTAATCATTCTGATAATTGGACTGAAGCAGCTTATATCAATGTAGAATGATGAAGAACAGAGGGTTGACTACTGAGAGATTTCAGCTGCTCTCTGGGCTTTCACTGCCTTTCTACACCTCCCTTTCTTCATGTGTTCAATCATTTTTCCCAGTGTCATTTCATTTTATTAGACATAACTAGGGCCAGACTGGAATCTGCAAATGTTTTTTGGTATTTCTGCGGACAATTTTGGTAAAAATCTGCGGATTTCTGCGAAATAATTTTGGGAATATCATAACTAAAACCTTGATATATGAAATAAAAAAATAATATCTTTTTAAACATTTTGACAATTTAAAGTCAATAGCACCTTTAGAAATATGTTTCTGAGAAAAATTCAATACTTATTTATCCACTGTATATCTATGACCCCTTTGTGCTCATGCTGGAGATGCAGGTTTGAATTTGCATCATATTCCAATGGTTTATGTCAAGATTTAATGATGGTTCATTTTGTTTAGTACTTGTATTTCCACATCAGTGGTTAAATCAGGCTAAATTTTTATAGTCCCTGAGTGTTTATTCCATAATTCCATGATTTACCCAATCATTATATTGCATCTTGTAGGTTCATAGCAATTATAGTTTAATAAATGTCCTACAGTAACCTACAGTATATGTCTCCCAGTGGCTGTAGTTTTCTTCTTTATTTACAACACTCTGCTGATCCTAGAGCATTCAGCACTTCTTTATAGCATGTGTACAGGGATGGCATTGGCTTTGTTCCATGCTACTGCAGGAAAGTGCTGAGTCATGATAATTGAGCCTTGCTGGTGCCGCGTGCGGAGAAAGTCTGGGCTCTCTCAAGGTTAAACAGACATGCTACTCAGCAGTGTGCGCCGGATAAGATTTTAATGGACCGAGCATTGAGGAACAGACAGACCTATCTGTCTGGCATCAGGATCGTGCTAGCCTTAGTGCATGCTAATTCGCATTCTGTCTTTTCTGTATGTAAGGCTAGAAGTAGAGGATCCTAAATATAGTGTAATAAGTATATGCCAAGTAGTATGCCAACGGTGCACAAACGCACACTTAAAGCAGAAGTATTCAAATTTAAAGTTGAACAAAGTGATGGCACACTTAACAAGCCAATAGTCTGGATAGAGATTGATAGATGGATAGACTCATTATTAGCATGATAGCAATCTGCTAAAACATGATAAACAGGCTTTTATATAATTTTTAGCATGTTTCTTTTTGTTGCTAACATTTTTGACATGCATACATTAGATAAATAGACAACTTTTTAATCTGCTGCTAACATAACGTGTTGGCATGAATTAGCACATTGTAGTCTTGTTTTTAACTTGTTTCACCTAAATTCTAGTATTTTAGAAGATTCATTGATTAATTTGATACATAAACTACTTTAACATGTTACTAGCATTGTTAACAATGTTATGGCATCTTTAACAAAACAGCAATGTGCTAAAATAATGTTTTATTTTTGGAGACTGGTCAAATAAATCTATAAATAAACCATGCTGATGGTTTTTAAGACATCGCTAACACATTTGTAACATGTTTTACCTAGTTGCTAATATATTTTAGCCTATTTTTGTTAATGATCCATGGATGGTTGTATGTATTTTAAACAACACGGGTTCATTGGAAATACACATTTCAGCCTGCATTTTTGTTGAACTGCAAAAACCTATTTCAACATATTTGAGTGCAGTTTCTTGCTTGGTAAAATATCTCTGCGGGGCAATATCAAATAGGAAATGATATCAAGAGAAGCACTGCAGGTCTTCATGACCTTGTCAAGTGAAAGGAGTTTGCAAGAATCACCAAATTTTCCCTTTTTGAGACCATTTGTAAAGTGACAGGTAGTAAAATGTGCTGCTGCACAAAACCATTAATAACTCAATCCGTTATGTTCCTCATCCTCCTTTTACAAATTCTCTTCTCCAATCCTATCTTTCACTTGCACTTGGCAACTTTGATTAATTTAGAAACATTGCCTTGTAAAAGAACTTGTCTGTTATATTTTCCATCTCTGAATCATCTACATATCTGCTCTTCTTTTTCCTCTGTCCAGGTTGTTTTCAGCTATGTAACGTGTTCAGGCAGAACATGGAGATAGACCAGTGTCTGCTGGAGTCTCTGCCGTTGGGCCAGCGTCAGCGGCTGGTCAGACGCATGCGTTGCGAGCAGCTGCGGGTTTACTATGAGCGCGAACGGACACTTCAGAAACAGAGCTTCCCCAAGTCCCGCTCTACCAACCGCAAGAAACAAAAGATCAGCTTCCCGCTTTCAGACATCATCCAGGACGCCATCATTCGGCATGACGACAAAGAAGGTAAGAGACATGTTATCTTTGTTTCATATTGGGAACTATACATTGTAACTTTCCACTTTGAGCAATAAGTCAGCAAAGGGCTTGATGTATTTTTGATTTTAAATGCAAAGACAAATCACACGAAACTATTCTGTAGAGTTGTTGCCAAAATTATCTTGCCAGTAGTATTTTCTCTTGTTTAACATGGTTTTAAGTGTGTTATTTGGTGGAAAATATCAGTTTACAGTTCTGATTTTGTCCTCCCATGTGGCACAGATCAGATATGGTCGATCAAAAATTCTCATGAATTCTGATATACTCAGATCAGTTTCAGTATGTGTGAATAAATTTGATATAGACTGTATCTGTGCATTTCCGTCTGAAGTGTAAGAGAGCTGTGTCATTGAAAAACAGTAGAATGATGTAAAGTTTGATGCTGATATATAGAGACATGGATGATTCTTATATCTTAAATCCCATATACAATGACGCACAAGTCTTATTTTGTCATGTGGCACAAGTTACTATTCACTTGAGGATACCCAAGTGAGGATGCTTTTAAATCTTATGTCATAAATAGGTTTTGTTTATAATTTAAATTAAATTAACTAAATTAAATCAACATTTAGTGGAACAACCATTTGCGTTTAAACCCACTTTGTTTTTCTTCTTCATGACTTTACATATAGACTGGATGATGGTCAAACACTCCTTGTGCAAACTAAAGTTTCAGTGGATTATTACAGTTTATATGAAAAATTATGTTTGCGAAGTTAAACCAATATTTCAATACATTACAGAAAAAATATGTAAATAACTGACTTTTGTGAATACTAGTGTTCTAATAATTCTGGCCACAATTATAGCTGGGTTTCCTTCACCCTGTGTCAATGCTCATTTTAAGAAATGAGGGATGTGAATGGTAGATTTTAAGTAAATTTTGTTGTATATACGCAAGCTTGAGGTGATTCTAGGGTTAATGCAAATAATCGAAGATAGAAACACATTTGTGGAATAAACGCATAATGAAACGATCATTACCCTGTACACTAATCAAGTGTCCCAATTTTGCTTGCCTTGTTTACTGTTGGTGGCTGCGTATGAAATTGCCTACTACTCAGTAGGTACTTCATTTGAATTGGAACGTACTACTTGGCCGTTAAAAAAGTACGGTCTATCAAAGACTATAGAATACACAAAACATGTCAGTCGTATTGTTTTGAATGGAGAAAAGTGTAATGGTCAATATGGTAAATAAAGCCCACCTTCTAGTACAAGAGCCAATCATCGAGCGCTATAGACTGACACTACGCCGGGGGAGGGGCTTGGACCAGATGTGAGTTTCTGCAGATTTTGCAAACATTTAGAAACTAAACTTATAAGACAGTTGTTGTTTAGTTTTATTGTTGAAATCTAAAATAAAATTCAGTCATAAGCTTGGCAAGTAGTTTTGTAGAATTTGATGTTTCCCTATTCAGACAGAATGCATACTGCCTGAGAGGCGTTTCAAAGATGCCGCCGAGTGAAATGACTTGTTTTAAAGGGACTTTTGTTCTATACAGTATGAATGTGAGCAGTATGAATGGAATTTTAATGTTCTACATCTGCCGTTTTGTGGTCATGGTCACATGACCTACCCCTGTCAGTTGCGTCACTCCCATTCATGAATTCTCTCGCGGGGTATCATGGGATAGCGCAGTGTGCATGGGATGCGTACTTCTGAATCTCGCCGGAAGTAGTAGGTCATCCTGGTACTTCCCGCATACTAATTTTTAAATTCTATGAATTTGGACATACTACTCGGCTTGCAAACTGATTTTAGTGTACTAATATAGTATGGAAGTATGCGTTTCGGACGCAGCCTATACACTAATCAGCTGTCTCCATTTGGCTTGCCTTGTTTATCGTTGGTTACTAGGTTACCAATACTAGTGTCAGCCCCTCTAACAACTTAAAAATGCACCCAATTCACTTACAAATTTCAATTGCTGCATTTCAATTAAATATTGTTAAAAAGTATTTTAACTTGAGATGGTTTTAGGGTTAATGTGAATCGTGGAAGATGGAAATAGATTTGCGGAATAAACCCATAATGTAGCAAACATTACGCCATACACTAATCAACGGTCTTGGTTTTGCTTATCTTGTCTAATGGTTACTAGGATACCAAATACTAGCGTCAGCCACTCTAACAACTTAGAAATGCACTTAATTTACTTCGGAATGTGATTCCGAATGGCGTATTTCTAATTAATATTGTTAAAAAGTGTTTATACATGTTTGAGGTAGATTTAGGGTTAATGTGAATAGTGCAAGATGAAAACAAACAAACAAACAAAAAAAACTTTGCTGAATAAACACTAATGTAGCGAACATTACACTATACATTAATCAGCTTACTCTATTTTTCTTGCCTTGTTTACTGTTGGTAACTAGGTTACCAATACTAGTGTCAGCCACTCTAACAACTTAGAAATGCACCTAATTCACTTTTGTTTGTGAACTTTGAAAGGGTTTGCTTCACGTTAGGATTGAAACCCTGCTACTGATTCAAAATTTGATTGCTATTATGTTCATCTAAATAGTGACACTGAAAGAAGAGTCATGAAAGGAATGGGTTGTTGGGGTGTGAGTGTTTGCACATGCTTGTGTTGCAAACACAGAGAGAGCAGCTTAGTCAGCGTGCGAGCTTGGTGAAAAAGGCCAAATTAATTTCCAGAAAGGCGAGCCATCACAGGAGTTGCCCATTAGCCGGCGAGTATTAGATCATTCCTCAAGCTGATTATGGGGCCAGTCAAAAAGCTAATATTCAGAGTGTGGCGCGCCGCTCCTGGGACAGGCAGAAGTAATCTAATCAAGAGCTTGCGGAGGGGAGAAAAGGAGCTTGTGCTCGACAGGGTGACAATCACAAGAGCGGCCACCTTCTGCATCATGAGCAATGGCACCGGGTAAACCAATTCAACCCAAGTCAGCTATTTCTGTCTGTGACTTTGCGGCAGGGGATTGGCAGAGCTGTTCTTATTCTGCCGGTGCCAGATAAAGGTGAGAAGCCTCTCATTTTTAATGTAGTGCCATCCTTCAGAAGGCAGCATAAAACTTTAACACACAGGAGAGCTGGAAATATGGCATTTTAAGGTCAAAACGGGCGATGCATTTTATATTTCAACAGTCAGGAGCTTTTAACGAAATACTATAAATGATTTAGGATACCAACTGTTTGATCCATGCAAGCAGTGAAGCGTTTTGCTTTTTAATTGGCCATGCATGATAGGCAGTTTATGAGAGTTCTAAAGTCTCTTTATTGCAGTTTGCTCATTTTTATGGCTCATTCAGCCATGTGATATGATTTAGATCTTTGTCACAACTAGAAATGCATGGTTACTCAAGATATTGCTCAGTTCTGGAAGTAACTAAGCATGTCATATGAACAAGCAGGCAGCAGTGATGCTGATTTTAGTTTCACAGATCTCAAATGCTCAAAATACGTGAGGAAATAGGAGTTAATTTCAGCATTATGTTGATCTGAAATGTTTAATAATAATAACAAAAAATAATAATAATATGATAAAACTGGTTGATTAGGAAGTTACTTAGGCCCCGTTTACACTTACAGGTCTTGATGCCCAATTCCGATTTGTTCCTTATATCTGATTTGTTTGCCTGACTGTTTAAACGTTGATTTAATTGTGACCCATATCCAATTCATGCGTTTACACTTGCCATACAATTTACGAAGTCGCGCATGCATAAAGGCGGGTTCTAGCATATGTGCCACACTAACCACGATTGAAGGAATTGTCTTGTTTTTAGCTCTGCAAAATATGCGACGTGTAGTATAAGCAGTGGATGGTTTTGTCCAGATTTACCCCCACGCAGTTTATGTAATGGTACGGCCCTGTTGTTTGTGTGTAGTTGAAGATGTAGCCTTTGCCTGTGTGCGCACTGGTTTTGGAGAGATTATTCTGTGTGTAGCCCTATATTTTACAGTCTATGGTGTTGCCCGCAGTGCGTGTAATAATAGCGACAAAAAGCAAAAGTTACAACACGAAGTTCGTCCAACTTTAAAATGATTTTGAGGCGGAGGTGGGAAAGGGCCATCATCGCAGCTTGCGCTTATGGTTTATATGCTTTAATGATGTCCTCCACCATTCAGAGGAATTTGTGGGTACGAGAGAGATCTCAGGTCTGGTGGGAGCAAATTGTGGCGATTGACCACTTTCCTCCTCTGTGTTTCCTCTGTTGTTTACCACGTCGGCATCTCCACACACGCTCTTCCTTCTACGCAGGGCTCGAAATTAACCTTTTTGCTTGGTAGCACCGGTGCTCCTAACTTTAAAAATTTAGGCGCATCAGCCAAAATTTAGTCGCACCCACCAATTATGAGCACCGTTACTACAAGTTTTATACAAACAGATTTATTGTATTTGAAATCAACACTAATCAAACTAACAAGCAAAAAAATAATAATATAAATATGCGTGCGTGAGGAAAATATGTCTCAACGAAATCCCGTGATCACAAGAAAATAGATTTTTATAACATAACTGAGTGACCAAAGCATACACGGAGCGCTCACCGGCCCTGCACGCACTGCTTGAATGAATCTGTTAACGGTATAACGTTAACTGTGCTGTTCTCACAAGTGCTGTCTGATATTGCACTGATGCTTTTGACACATATTGTACCTTATTATATGCATACGTCATATTAATAGCCATACCGGTCTTTTCATGAGTAAGTTAGCGATATTAATTTACTCAGTATAAGCCCGTTTGCGATGGTGTACGTGATGTTAAATTTGACATATAGCTGCCCCTTACACGGCGGACAGCATCTGGCAATTATATGAAGGATTAAACAGAAGCTCTCGTGCTAGATGTGGCAAACAGTTACCTGAAAACTCCATCCCACAGACTTTTTATAGCGGACTTGAAGCCAACAGAAGTCTTCTACTCTTGGAAAAGTGTAGATGGTGGATTAACATTCATCACATGATCACTAGTAAGATGTGTCATTATTTG